GCTAAAAGGAGGATCGGTTGCTCCGGTATCTTTCACGAGGAGATGCTGGCAAGGAACACCTCTGAAAACCTGAGAGTGAAAGAAGAATTAGGAAGCCAGGAAGCGTTCTCTTCATTTCTTGCACCACAGGATTGTGATGCTGTCTCGTACCTCTTCGTTTGATTAGGACAGGCTCACGGAAGCAAGTGCGGGAAGCTGTTAGGACAGTTACCGGCATAAAGCTAAAGAAGGGAAAAAAGTCCTCGGGCAGTCAATCAAACCGGTAGGTTCAGCTTTATCTCCAAAGGCTGCAAAGAGATTCAGCTAAATTAATGCCGAGTGACTGAAATCAATAAGTGAATAAGCCTGTATTTCCCAGAGCGGGAGACTCAGGGGGAAAAAAAATAAAAATAGAGCGGGATTCAGATAGATTGGTCCTCTCACATCCTCCCAGACACAAACCAGACCAGAAATAAACGCTAAGGCCCTGCAGTACCAAGGAGGAGAACCCAGAGGACCAAGTTCTAAGATGGTTGAGAACTGCTGAGAAGGCAGTGTCAGACCTGTGGAGGCATTCTTGCTTGGGGGTTAATTATCGTAAAGGAGCCTGCATTCCCACATTCCGTCGCTATAGTCCTTCGGTTTCTTGTCTTCTGGCATGAGCTTTGCCATTCTCTGCTTGGTTTCCATCTCCTGGTTCTGTGTTTTCTCCACTCTTCATTGTTCTCGACTCTTGTTTTCAGGCAAGTGCGCGCTTTGGCTGGTAGTTAAGCAAACTGGATGTCAGGGGTTTTTTCTGTTTTAACTTACCCACTGTCTTTCTGTGTGGCCTTGGAAGCTAGTTGTAACATGTTCCTATGTCTCCGTTTACTCATCTCTGAAATAAATAACACCTACTTGGCTGGGGAGTAATGAGGGATAATTAATTAATGCATGCAAGGAGTTCTGAGGTCCTTAACTAAAAGAAAGCCAAGGATCGTTAGGTTAGCTAATTCTCTGCTTTGTTTTTCCTCCATTTCTTCTTGGTTTAGATCTCTCAGAATGTGAAGTTAAGTGTGTCAGGACTTTTTTCAGCCTGTTGCTTTAACTCCTGTTGATGTCACTTTTCCTTTCAAGTGGAACTTTAAAACCAATAAGGTAAATTACACATGATCCTAGAATGAGGAACTAGCAAAAACATCTCTTTAATTTTTCATCCAGAAAATATTCTCGTTTTACACTCTGCTTCTCTTACTTAAAGGAACCATAAATCAGCCTGTTCCTTTGGTGTTTGCAGTCACAGGGAGAGATTTAGTGCTGCTGGCAGGCCCGGGTCTGAAATGGGCAACTGTCGAGGGCAGAGAGCCGTACGGAGCCGCATTCCATTCACACACACATTTGCTTTACTTGGCTGCCGTCCAGATGATTTTTTGAGTCACTCGCGAGCACGAGGGAAATAGCCTGGGCAGAGGGGAGCGTTTTTCATCTCGTGGTCAGTCTGTCACCTCAGCTGGCTTTTATTCACCTTTATTCTCCTGTCTGCAAAGACGGGAGAGAAACACACGCGGGCGTTTCGGAGAGCAGCGGGCATTCCCAAACCCTCCTCCTCAGCAAATACGGTGGCGTGTCGCAGCCGAGGACCTGCACCTCCCTGCTCGGTGAGAGCAATTGTTCTGTCTCTTGGCCACGCAGAGCAAAAGGGGAAAGCCAAAAAGTGGGGGTGTGGCCCAAGGTGCGTGTGATTCTGTTCTTTGCTCTGCTGCAGAGCGGGCTTAGCCTCTTGCTGCTATTATTTCCTCACCAGTACACATTCCCCAAGTCCTACGATAGCCGTGAGGCTTAATCTGATGTCCGTAGGTGCTCTGGGATGCGCGTTGATACCCCTGGGTTGCCAAAGGGTCAGATCCCTTCTGCATACGTACACAAAGCTACTTCTGCCTCTTCCCACTTAACGCTCGCTGGCAGTCCTGTCGCTGTCTCCCCAAGTCTCTTGTCACTGCAAGGAGACTTCCAGCTGCAAGATACGGTTGGGAGTAGATTCACCTGTGGTCACTGGACTCTGATACCTGGCTGTTGATGCTAAAAGCAGCTCTAGCCTTTGGTAGGAGAAGCAGCAGGACTCGCTAGGCAAGCCTGATAGCTCTCCGGGCTCTGACAGTGTCAGCTGTGGTGCTTGGTGTCCACCTTTCTGCTCATTTGAGGCAGAACCTGGCCTCAAAATTGGAGAGTACCTGCAACCCAGCAGGTGGTCGTTTCTTTCCTTAGCTGTAGGGTATGAATTTCATCACTGGCTCTTGTCCTTGGAACTCTCTTGTCACCATCCGACTCCTTTGCATCAGTAGCTCCAGGTCTAGCATAGCTCTTCACCGTATTTATTTATTCACGTTGGGATTCTAGTCCTCTTGCAACTAACCGACTCCTGCTACTGAGTTTCCTGACTCTATTAAGGTGTGAACAGCCGCCAACACTAGTTGCTCCTTTGCTCCGGGAGACCTAGTGCCTGGGAAAGGTAACGGATGGGCCGTCCTCCTGAGGAGCCCAGGCCAACCTTCGTGGGACCGCGGGGAGCCAGCCGACTGCTCGTGCATGCAGTTTGTCTGACTGCGCTGAGGCAAGCTTCAGATTTCCACTTACAGTTTGCTTTTTTTTTTTTTATTTTCAAATGTACATGCAAAAAAAAAAAAAACCATCGGCACATCACAGCACTAGATCACAAGGAAGAGAGGGTGGGGTTTCGGTGGGTGAAGCTGGCGCTGGTATTTGGGAGAAACATCAATTTGCACATAGTTCACTGTAACATTCTCTTAAAACTTCATCTAAACTGAGACCGCCTCTAGTGCAAGAGCCTCTAAAAGTAACATACAGCTTTAGGAGTTTTTCCGTGTCGTTTCTTAGGGGTGGATGACCGCACAGCAAAGGTGGAAGTCACCCAGCTGCAGCAGCTTGGTCTAGAACTTGTCTATCTGGGCAAACATATGTCATAAATAGCTGTTTCTGCGCAAGGCTCCCCCTTCCCTCAGAAAAAGAAATGTCAAAGTGTCTGTAAACTATGTACACAACTGCCTCCTGGGGAGAGACACTGATACTGAGAGCAAAGGCAAGTCCAGCTACAGAACCTGGCACTGTAAACACAACGGGCAGTGACTGCACATCAGCACGTGTCGCGTTCACACAGCTTTATTGAAGGTGAAGCAACGGCGGAGTGGTCTCTATAAGGGCTGTGGTTCTGTTACATGTCATTCTTTATGGCAGTTCTCTATAAGTAGTCACGGAGGTGAAAAATCCTGATAAAAAGCAAAATGCATCAGGACCGTGTCTCCTTTCATCCCCAGATTATGTAGTTCCTGGGAATCTTCCTCCGTAACTGCAGACAACAAAAATTAGCCATTTCTTTTTTTTTTTTTTCATTTGAGAGGCTACACACTTTTAAAATCAGACTGACAAGCCTGTGGAGGCTTAGAAGTAAAACACCACATACAGAAACATCGGTCAGCCAGGTTCTCGGGTTGCACCGCTAGACTCGCAACGCTGGAGATCCACGATTTAAAAATAAGTCATTATTTCCTTTTGAAGTTGTCTGCCGGTTGTTCAGTTCAAATAGACAAGGGAAGGTTAGTTCTGGAGGACCGTATTTCTTCAGCTGGCATGCTGTAAGCAGGCTCATGGGAAAACCTGACCTTTCCAGGAATACCGGCTCTCCTTCACGTATATAAAGAATGAAATCCCAGACTTGGGTCTCAGGCAGGAGAATAAAGAATTTCCCTTTGGTAATAACTCAGACTTCCATTCTCTGCTCTCTCTTTCTTGCCCTTTTTGTGGGTACACATATGAGCGCCCACCCGCTTCTCGTGACTCGCCTGCTTCGTGGCATGATGCCGGGTAGAGAAAATGGATTACTCCTTTCTATCCACAGCGGAGACATGCTTTTCTCTTGGCTGAGTCCTGATGTCACCCCTGGGTTGCCCTCGAAGCGAAAACCCCACGTAGCCTCTTGGAGTTAAGTGACTTGGCAGGGACGCGTCGTAGGACAGTGCAATCCAGTTTCTTTCTCTCACCGCTTGTCGGGGGGAAGCGAGGTGCTAGGACGCCTTCAGTGAACCGAGAGCGCGGTCAGGGTGGGATATCCAGACCTGCAGAGGAAGGGCTTTCTAGCAGGAATATTTTTAGAGTAAAAGCATTTAGCTTTGCTGTTTTAAAAAAGAAACAAACAGAAATTAGCGTGGCTGGCAGCTGTGATTTTGTGAGAGTAAGTCTTTGTGCTGTCCATACAGGGAGTAAAACTGCCCCCTTTAGAGAAAGACAGACAGACATAAAGGCGACAGAGGACTCACTGTGGGTGTGTTACACTTCTGGCATCCTTGACCACGACAGAGGATAAATATTCTGTTGTTTCTTGAAGCAGATACCCGAGCATAGCCGTTTCAATCAGGGGCCAAACTACTGTGCATTTCTGAAATGCCAAACGTTAAAAAAACCTGTCCTGGTCCGTCTGATCGACAACCATGTAGAAAACCTCTGAAGCAGCAGTGGCATCCTTTAGAGATGCCTCGGGACCTTGGATTTTACTGCTGAAAATTAACCTTGTCCCATGAAGCCTGCATCTGGATGGGGAAATGAGGCAAAACAGCACAGCGGGCAGCTCAGCTGCAACCAAGACTTAAATAAACGGAGTTCTTGTGGGAAGGGCACCCCCTACTTCTAGGGGCAGCTCTGGTTAGCTTGGCCAGTCTTTCTTTGCAGGACATAACGCTCAAAAGCTTAAACACTGGACAAACTGCTAAAGTTACAGCTAAACAACATCATACCATCGATCTACTCGTGGCTAGAAAAAAGGAGAGAGGCGATCCAAAGTCCTTCAGGCTGTGAAAGGTCTCCGTGAATTAGTGCTTATATGCGTGGCAGACCTAGTTGCCTCCTCCGTTGTGCAGTGCTCAAGGAATGTCTCTGAAGGTCTCAGTCTTGTTTCTTTTCCTCACCCTCGTTCTGAATTTGAAGCAGCATCCATCCGAGATACCCGTGAAGAGCTGGGAGCTTTTCTATGGTCAGGATGTGAAGTAGGAGCTCTGCATGGAGTAGAGTCGGTCAATGGGGTTGCCCACGCGGGCTTGGAGGAGGTTGGCTTCGGCCGTTGACAGCAGGCAGTCTCCCAGGTGGCTGATGCTGTCACTGTCCATATCGTGAAAAACTCCTTCTGAGTCTAGAAGAGGAAGGAAAAGGAAATGAGCGTGAACGTGGCACGAGCGTGTCTCGTGGGGAGCTGCAGCACAGAAAAAGGGTGACAGCAGGGCCGTCTTTCACCGGGAGCCATGGTCACCCTGAGCGGGTATGAGGTGAGCCCCACACACAGGACCAGCTTTAGGCATAACTCCTCCCTCCCTCACCCAAACGTTTCGTGTCGGATGGAGGTAAGACCCCTGCCTCGCTCCCCGGCCCCTAGCAGAGCTCAGTCTGAGGCTCTGGCCTCACCAAACTTCTGGGAAAGGCTCTGCACAAAGTCCAAGCCCCGTGGAGCGTCCACTGCTGCCGGCTTCGTCAGCAGTCGCAGCAGAGCTGCCTTTTCCCGACTGGGACTGCTACGGGCAGCTTTGGTGCAGAGACGGGACGATCTCCACACCGCTCTCCTACCGTAGGGGTGCAGATGGTCTCCGGGCAGCTGGGGTGGCGTCAGCCCTTGTCTGTACAAGTCTGTGCTGTAGCCGTTCTGATCCAGGGGCAGCAGCTGCTGCTGGGGGATCCTGGGGTAGGGGACCATGAGCCCATCCAGGCCGTGAACGCTTGCGCCGTCTAAAGACACAACCAGCGGGGTGGGTTGAAGCAAAGGGTGCGCAGCACGCGGTGGGGCAGAGCACTGTCACGATAACATTATTCGCATTGCTCCAGCAATATTTGGTGGTCTAACACCGCACGGTACTAGGCTCTGTGCGTACATGCAACAGAAAAAAAACCCGTCGTCTTCTCAGAAAGAGGAGATTTCTCGAGATACTGCATCACGAGTACCCACGAGTCTTGCTGAACGTTACCTAGTCATTCCAGCTTGTGCATACCAATTCAGTTACAGCCTTCACGCCTTTTGCTCATCTCTTCCTGCGCGCGTTCTCTCTCAAACACATCCGAGTCAATCCCCTCCATCCCAGCCTGCGGCCCCCAGAGCTGTCACCGTGCGCAGCGGCTCCTCACCTTCGCTATCGTCATTGCTCTGCCTGCTGTTGCGACCGGTCCCTCTCCCGGTCCCTAAGCGAGGGTTGCCCAGCTGATCTTGCTCCTGCTGTTGCTGCTGCTGCTGTTGTTGCCTGCGAGCAATCTTCTTCATCTGCAAGGAGACGGAGACCCCGGATTTGAGGTTCTGACTGAGAGGGGAGCGGAGTGGGTTGCATTTAACAACGGCAGCGGACCACTGCCGCCTGCCTTTCACAGGGACCAAGCACTGCCATGACAGAACCCTGCTCAGACTCCTCCGGGTGACTCCTCTGCAGTCAACGTTCTCTGCAGTCGGCCCCGTGTGAGAAACGGGGCTGACGGAAAAGGTTGTATTATCTCTGTGGGAGATGCCATTTGCAGTTTAAAAAACAAAGGGCTTTGTTTTACTGCAAAGTGAGGTTTTCAAAGCCACATATTTTCTGTTTTCACCCTTTAAATTCTGCAAAACTAGAAACGTTTCAACTTCTAGAATAAAGCAGTGGGAAAGCCTTCTAGTCTTTCTATAGTGAGGGGGAAAAAGCAAGTAGAAAAAGAGTAATCAAGGAAAAAACCCAACGTGAAAAATGTTAAGCCCTGCAAACGTCTATAATTAATCAATTTTTGTATTTCTCTTCAAGCTTTTGCTACTACTAGATAGATGCTGTAGGACTAGGTGGACCTGTGGGTGGTCCTGCGTAGCTGTTCTTCTGTACTTCTAACCATTTTCTCTTTTTCTAAGCTATTCTACATTTCCTTTTAATTGAACGAGCGTGTGTGATGTCCCACAGGTATGCAGAACCCAGCTGTGGCACGGGAACCGTCACTCACCTTGGCTCTTTGGTTCTGGAACCAGACCTGTACCACCCGCACAGTCAAGCCCGTCTCGGCTGCCAGGGTCTCTCTTACCTGTCCACAAAACCCGGAGAGCTGAATCAGAACTTAAGTTGCACTTAAAAAGATCCAAGCCAGCAGTTGTGCTGAGTGGCCTCCTTATACCTTTCTGCAAGGTTTTGAGGAAACCTCGAACGAGGCCTTGAATGCCCGACGCTGCTGTGTGGTAAGGATGGTGCGCGGGCGCTTGGAGCGCTTGTGGTCTTTGCTCTCCTCGCTGCCTTTGCCGTGCGAGTGGCTGCCGTCTTCATCCTCGCTTTTCACTGCAACGGAAGATCAGTAGCGGTGATTCAGCAGAGAGTGGCCTTCCTGGGCCATCTCCCAGGGCAAGGCTTCGGAGAAACTTGTCAGAGTTCTGCTCCTGCCACGGTGCGATTTAGAGCAGAAGTGCAGAACGAAGCCAGCAAAGCTCGTGGACTGAGCTGTGGCTCAGGGGAACACTGTCAGTTCAGAGACAGAGCTGATGGGCTGCCCCGGCCCCGTATCATCCATTCTCTAACGTCTCAGAGCAGCCCACCCAAACCTCTCCAGATCCGCCAAGTAGATCTCAGCAGCCTGGTACCCCCTTGGCTGCCTATCACCAAGGGGGAAAGATGCTACAGCCTCCACCTACCTCCATCTCCTCCCTCTGAAGCCTCCCCTGTAGTTAACTAGGGACCAGGCAGTACCTGCCCTCTCCAAGGTTCACCCTGATTCCCCACCCTCGGCACCGCTCCAGCCCCGGCCCCTCACCGGACTCCGTGGGTGCCGGGCTGATAGCGCTCAGCATCTCCTTCTCCTTCTCATAGTCACTGCGGCACAGCAGCTGTCCCTCTTTGAGCACAAACTCGTCTCCCCGCTGCAGGCGCCGCTCACACTCGCAGCAATAGAAGCAGTGAACGTGGTAGACGTTCTCCAGCACCCGCATGATGAGCTCGGAGGGGGCGATCGCCTTCAGGCAGCTGCTGCACTTGGTCTGGAACAGCCTGCAAAGAAGGTCCCGGCGGTTAGACACTCGGGCAGGGAAGGTCAGCCCTGGGTTGGGGCTCAGGCACCCAAGGGAAGAAGGGGGTGGATGTTTGGAGCTGTGCTAGCACATCCCAGCAAGGAGCGTACATCCCAACTGTGTTTTGGGGCTTTCTGACCTTCCGTAGCCCCAGGGAGGAACACGAACTTGCCTGGCCCAACAGGACAGAGCTTTATGTCCCCTCTTCCTCTCTAGGGCTGTTCACTGCCTGGCTTTGTTAGGTTGCTCCTAGTGAGAGGGCTTTATGCATCCCTCCGGGACCGTCCCCAGGGCTTGGAGGAGCCTTACGCAGGGAGTCCCACGGGGAAGGCTGTTTGCGCCCCACACCGTGTCCGGAGAGAGAAATAAACAACTGCTGAGCGCCCCGCGTACAGAGCAGATGGTTCTGATGAAGTAATTTGGGATCTAAACAAATGTGAGCAGTGGTGGCTGCCGGCTGACAGCTTCTATTTAGCCACTTGACAAGAGAAAGTAATAAAATAGGGATTAATTAGGCTGTTGTTTAAACACACAGGATCTTCTCCACCAGCAGGGAACTCATAAACTGGGATTGAGAACAAGACTGGGTTAATCCTCCTGGCAAACTCTGTGGAGCAGGATGAAGAGGCTTACAGGGGTGGGCTCATCCCTTCCAAATACCACCATGGATTTGTGCTGTGCGGTGGCTTTCGGCTGAAGTGTCTGGGACATTCCAACTGGAATGGTGTGGGATTTCTCTCTCCTTTGTGTGAGTGTGTTTGCGTGCATGTTCCTCTCTCCCTCCCTGGCTTTCTTTCTCTCCCCCTTTCCCCTTTGTCTTTCCGTAATTCACACTTGAAAAATAGTAATCGAATTTGAGCTGAAAAAGCTGGGAGTAAAGAGGAGCCTTTTAACCACAACCTCTCACTGTCTTACCAAGGACCAAACTGGGAGCGTGTTCCAGGCACAAGCCCAGTCCAAATCTGGGCTGAGTCCAAATCTGTCCCTTTCCTAACACCAACGTCCTTCTGTTACAGCAGAAGTGAAATAGTAAAAAGAATAAAAAAAGACCCAACACTAGAGCCAGTCAGCGATCACGGCTATCTGGGATCAGTCAGGAACACGTGACTTATTACTAAACATTAAGTTATTAATGCTCCTGGACTTTAAGCCCAGATGGAAGATAATGGTGATGTAGTCTGACCCCGTGTTCATTGCAACCCAGAAAATCTCGCCCAGGGATTCCCACCTCGAGCCTGTTCGCTGGTGGTGGATGTACAGCGGAGGCCAGCCAGTCGCGGTCTGGAGGCGTCAAGTGAAGGAGGATCTGTCCGCATCCATTTGGAAGAGGTTCCAGAGGCTAACTAGCTCCTCAGTCCTTATTTCCAATTTGAATCTTACTTTATTCCATGCCCAGCAACTAGACTTCGTCATGTCTTTATCTTCCCGAGAACCGCTGATAATTAGTTATGCCAACTGTGGGTAATCAAACTATTCTTCTTTCCAGGTTTCTGTCCCTTACCCTTCAAACAACCCATCTGAAAGTGAGTACTGACTTTTCTTTGCGTCTCAGCTGGGAGAATTACTGTCCCCGAAGAAAGGTCTGCCTTGCCTCGTTATGTGCTGTCGCGTAGCTGAATCTGGTGACACAAATATCATTTGACTTTGAGACAAGCTAGCCCCAAGCTCCCATCTGGTCTTACCGTATCTTTCGGAGACGGGTTTACTCCTGTAACACACCCAGGCAGCCCCACAGCCCCAAATCCAGGGACAGACACATTTAAGAACATGGTCCTGACAAACAGAAGCTTTACTTCAATATCCCGACCTGCCTCCGAGTAAGGAACAGGATAGTTTAGGAACACTCCCTGTCTTGTTTCACACTTGTGTTTTCTTAATTATTTTTATCCATATAGATACTGGAGCATTCCCTGGGTCCTTTTATACTTCTAGCCTCAGTGATATCGCTGGTTGCTTGGGGAAAACGTCCAGAATATTGCTTAGCCGAGGCAGGTAGAGGAGAGCTTTGAGCGTGATGTGCTTCTAACTGCAGGCAGGCCGACAGCGAGAGGGATGGAGCAGAACAAGGAAACGTGGAACCAGATGTCAGAGCTGGGAAAGGAGACCTATTCACCTGCAAGGCACCAAGCCGATTCCTCCCGCTGCTGTTGGAACAAGGCAGTTAGCAAGCCTTATTTAAAGATGCTGTCATGTGCCAGATTTCCATGAAAAGGGCTTTTTTGCAGCTATCAGGTGAGGGAAGCGCCGTTACTGCAGCCTAACTCAATAACGCTTTTGGCATCGCAAGGCCCGCACCCTCCCATCTCCCAGCTAAGCCCCGAAAACAAATCCGCTCTGCATTGTACTAATTGAAGAAAACATTCAGCAAGCAGCTCATAAACACGGTGTCAGCTCGCATTACACAAAATTAAAATTCTCAGCCCCTCCAACACCAGGAATTCCTAAAGAGGCTGGTTTTAATATTGCCTGAATCCGTTTAAGTCAAGGTAATATTGTTTGGGTTGCCATAGGAACAAAATACATCTCCGTTGCTGGCGGTGGGTTACAAGGAGGCTTGGGAGGCTGTGCTGTCGACGCGGCTGCACGATGTCTAGAAGCAGCTGCCTGCAGACACTACGCTGGGGGACAGTCCGAAAAATAAGCGGGTTCCCAGGTTCATAATGAAAAGTGCATTTAGGAACAGCCAGGAGACGAGCGAGATCTCTGCATGCTCCTGGAGCAGCAGGACCACTTCGAAGTGCCTGTAACTCACAACAACTGTATCCCACTTCTTTTGGAAGGACCCTTATGCCGCATAAGCCTCATAGTCCACATGCCTCCACTTCTATTTTGACCAACTCTCCCCATGTCCTTACTTAACACCCTTGTTGCCTGAAGATCCCAGCCGAGTTTGATTTCCGTTCAAGATTTCCTGACGGGAGGTGTGGTAAGGCTATCAACTTTTACTCCTGGGAACGTTCAGAAACCATCCGGCAAGCAGAGGCAGGTGCGTGCACGCAGGTACATGTCCCACGTCCTTCTTACCAGCCTGCCTCAAATTAATTATCTTTGCAAACGATAGATTTTGATTTTCCTGCCGGGGGATTGCTCACCTTGATGGAAAAAGTGTCAGTAGCAGGAAGGCAGATGGGCTTATAAGTGGGAACGTCTTTGGGAATTGCAAAGAGGGCGGCTGTGGAGCAAGCGGAACCGTTACTCACAAGTCGGCATCGTGAGAGAGGCTTGGGGCTACAGGCACGGGTTTTGGCAGCCGGTTCTTCACGCTGATGGACGCTCAAGGCAAGAGGACCGGCGTTGCGGGCAGAACAGCAGCCTGGCAGCTGCCCGGTAGAGGGCAAGCACATCTGCACCGTTTGCCAACTCGGAGACAGCGCGTGTCACCCAAGCAAGGATGAAGATACAGGGTATCTTGAAAGAGAGCTTTGATGCTGGGCTGGAGGCCAAATTCACTGGCTGCCCACACTCCTCCTGCCAGGAGGTATCTGAGGCCAGCTCTGGGGGCCACAGGGCTGGCAGGAGCACGTGCAGCAATGCCTTGAAAGTCCCAACGCTATTTCTCTATTTCTCTTTTATGCCCGGACGCTACAGCAATGCCCAACATCTTCTTGAAGCTTGCTGAAATCTTGGTCCCAACAGCATCCTGTAGCAAGGAGTTACATACTCTGTGAAAAACAATTCCATTATTTGATTCCCTCGCCCTACCTACAGCCTCACTGTCTCTTTTTTACCATTAACAATTTGCTTTTCTTTTAATAACAAAACAGTTGGGGAGAGCCCAGCACGTAATTCATTTTCCCTCGAGAAGTTCGGTAAAGTTTCAGAGCGTGGAGTGGCGGCAAGAGGAACCGCAGCAAAGCGACCACGTGCATCTGCCTGGCTTTTGCACACAGCTGAGGAGCTCCAAGATCTTTCTGCGTCTTTTCAGACGCTTTATGGGCTTAATTTATCAGACTTTAGCCCTGGTAAAACACCCCAACGCCTAACTCTCCGTTAGTCCTTGCCGAGCACCCCTGTCGCAGCTCAGGGCACCGCTCTCCCTGCCGACGGCTCTGGAGGAGAAGTGGCAGCCCAGCTCCCAGCTCTCCAGATGGGGATGAGCTGAGCAGCAAGTTATTTGAGAACCTCGCTGGCCTGCCATGGCACAGAGAAGACGCTGACCTAGGCCTGGGAAGGGTAATTTGGGGGGCATACGATTGTCTGGCTGGGATTAAAAGGTGTTAATGAAGCAAGGAATAAGCTGGGAGGCCTGTGCTTCATGAAACTAGCTTATTTAGTTAGGGTTTAGTCAAAATGAAGCAGTCCAGGCTTAAGCAAGGTCTGTTTACTTAACATTGAGCTGCAAAATCCATTGTAGCCGTCTGAAATATTGAAGTGGAACTTGCAAAGCCTCTTTCCAGATTTCGGGCTGGGGGCTAGGGGCGTGATGGGGAAGGGGACACACAAGGGAAACGAGGCGGCAGCGGCAGCACAATATGCTCTTTCATTCCCTGCTGCAACAGCCATTTCCCCCCAATTCAGCGATACAGAGTGGCACCAGGGGATTAAGGGGAAAAAATTTCCTTCTGCTTAATTTCTGACTTCTTCCAGCTACGTTTGGGTCAGAGAAAGAAGGAGTAATTTGGGGGCAACAGTTACCTTTGCTCTCCGTTCCCTGCAAAGCTCTTTGTGGGTTACATGAATAGATTTACCCCCAGAAAGGAACTTTGTAATTGTGTAATTAGGTAGTTGTGCCTCTTGTCAGAAATAGCCAAGACTCAAACGTACTCAGACCTCCTCTCATGTGAGCGTGCGTACACCAGAAAAGAAGTCTTCGAAAGTTAGAAGCCAAAGCCAAACTGCCTGCTGCACGCAAAGTTCTCCCCCGAGGAGCGGAAAAACCAAATTTAAAATAACAGGGGTTAGTCATCTCCCCTAAATGTTTCACTAAAAGGCAGAAGGATGGGGTAGGAGTCGGAGAAGAGCCACCACCGCACTATCGCTGTTGCATCTTCACAGTCGCGCAGAGGGAATGACCTGACCTTCTCTGTCCATCGCTGGAAATATTACTTATGAGGATGAGGGCAGCGCCACGGTCGTGTAGAGCGGAAGGATTTTGGGACGGGGCACGCAGCAGAGAGATCTCCCCAGAGTTTTACGTCTAGCACCACGAGCAGCATTTAATGCAATTGCGCTTTGTTATAAAAAGTAACCAAAAGAACTGCATCTCCTAAGCGTGGTCCTGCTTGGCTGGACCCTGTAAATGCCCTTGGCGTCCACCCAGAAGGTAAGAGGTGTTACGAGCTCTGCTTCCTGGGCTTGATTCTGTTCACGTCGGCGATGAAAACTGATGCTGGGGAAAAAAACCCAACCGCTACCGAAAACCTAAACCACAAGCAAAACAGAAAAGCAAAACACCACCGAAGAGGTTCCCAAAGCCAGAGAGATTCATAAATATTAAAGTGACACGAGTGAAATGCTACTGAAAGATTTAATACTGTGCTGCTGCTCTGTCCCTCAAGGGGTTAAACCCCCCACTGTGAGGATATTACTGCCAGCACGGTGGCACTGAGCCATCACCATATAATCTGATGAACTCTTTTATTAAATTTCACAGGCCTGTCTTCTTTATTAAAATCTCCCAGAATTCATAGGGCGCCTGTCATATCACTGCTGAATGCTAACAAAAAAATGTGGGTTGTCTTTCCCCCCCCCCCCCCCTTTTTTCCTTCGTCTCCCGCGGGGGGGGGTTGGTGGGTTGCGGTGAGTGTCTCTGTCAGGTGAAGGAGAGGTGGGAGGGACGGTGCTGCTGGCCGAAGCGCAGCGGGAAAAGGGGGCTGTGTGCTTTTGCAAGCACCGACACCCCCCGCAAACCATCTCCCTTCACACCCCACAGCCGCTCCCTGCAGACAGAGCTCAGCGGCGGGGAAAACGGGGCCCAGAAATGAGTTTTACCTGTCTCTCTACCCGCGGGTGCTTTCTTTTCCTGGAGGGGCAGCTCGCAGCGTGCAGCCCTTTCCCAAACCCCACTCTCCCCCGGGCAGGGGGCTTCTGCAGTGATGGAAAGAGCACGGCAGGACCACACTTGCCAGGTATCGTGGCTCTCGACAGGAGCCAGCATTAACCACTGCTTCCGAGGAAGAAAATGAGCAGACTCCTTCCCAAACGCACCCCGAACGGAGGGATGACAGCAGTACGTGTACCTTGAGCGGTTCCCTCCTGCCCTTCACTTTGAGCTGCTAACACCCCATTTAACATCCAAGCTGCCTTGCGCTCGCAGGCCTGCAAGAGCTCTCCTAAGCTGAAAATACTCGCTGTCACTGGGGCAGCGCGCTGGAGGGGAATTCAGCTTCTGCAATCACCCTCACCTCTGCAAAGCAGAGGCAAAAATATTCCTGCTCTGCTTTAATCCCACGTTAGGCCGTCTCTGAGCCACAGGAAAGGTGGGATTCAGCTGCTGAATCTCTACGGACCTGCGCTGGACTGGAAATTAGGCTACAGCTTTGGTTTTATGCTCTTTAGAGTATACTCTAAATGCTTTTTGCAATATTTCCAGCAGGAGACCGTGGGAGTCCTACCCCGAGCTGAGCGGGGACGGGCACAGCAGACAGCAGGACGCGCAGAGCTACAGCGTGCAGGTGCAGCGTTTATTTCTCCGTAGCCCATCCAAAGTTCCCGCTGCAATGCAGAAGCTCTTGTGGAGTCCCGCACTTGGCGCTTTCCAAAGAATATGCTGCAAGCTGTCAGGAACAGCGGAGCAAAGCCCCTTGCTGGCGCGGGATAGAGGAGGCGCGTCCCGCCCCAAGCCAGCCACCTCTGCCTGCCCGCCCAGAGAACGGCATTGCCCTCTTCTTTCTGAAATGATTTTCTCTTCCAAGTGCAGAGAGCTGGTGTGGTGGTGTGGTGCTGCCCCACTTTCGGACTCGAGCTGGCTCTTACTCCACACTGAGCCCTTAGGAAGCTAAAAAAATGGGGGCTGCATCTCTACGGGGAATCCACCTCCCTGGGAAGAGAGAAAGTTTCTGGTCCTGTATCACCAGGACGGCACCTTTCTGCCGTCCCCTGAGAAGGGAACCAGCAGCTCCTTTCTCCCTCCTCTTGTTTCCCCCCCTCTCCGCTCCACAAGGCACAAACCAAAAGCTCGCTCCGGGTCTGCGGGTTTAAAGTTGGGAGTTATCAATTCATATTGATTTTGTCCTGCCTTATTGCATGGCTCCGGGAAGCCTCCGCATCTCCATTAGTATGCCTGGCAGGAGAAGGGTTCCTTCGCTTAGTAGCTAGGGGTGATATTACCGATCCAGATAGTATCCAAACTCAATATCCTGTTTCTCCTTTTCTCATTTCCTGTTTGCAGGTTCTGAATGCTGGCGTTGTCACAGCGAGAGGGGGGAAGGCAGGGAAAAAGACAGCAGGAGGGGGGGGGGGCTGGGGGGGGGGGTATTAATGGGGGAAGTGAGGGGGAGGGAGGTAGAAGGGCTGCAGACACTTTTATTACAGATTTAATAATGACAAAAGAACATCATTAAACATTCATTAGAATTATTTAATTAAATTTTACTTTGGAGGGGGGGGAAAAAAGAGATTAGATATGATGTAAAAAGCAATATTGATTGAGAAAAGAACAAGCTTGGGAGATGTGATTTAAATTAAACTCTGCGCTCTCTCCCTCTTCTCTCTGTTTTAAACGAGGAAGGGGGCGCGCGGTGGCACAGGGGACGATGCAGTAGCACGCAGCAGTAACGGGGCGGCCTGGCTGGGCAGGGCGGCTGCCTGCCAGGGGGAATGACATTGAGCTCCGTCCCACCCTAACGTGGCGACCGGAGCCAACTTGCCTGGCCAAAATGCCTCCGGCACCTCCCAAGGGTCTCGGAGCTCTGCACCCTGGGGCTGAGCTGGGCATCACCGGGTGACAAGCCGGAGACGGGCAACTGGCAATTAGAAACTGTAGTCCCTCTCCGTGCCCTGCTAGACCCTTCGAGTAGCGCTGGGCATATCCTCTCTGCGCCGCGGTTCCCTTTGCGGATTAGGAATAACAGAGCATCCCCACCGAAAGGGCTGAGTCCTCCGCTAAAGTCCTTTAAAGCAAGACTCCTTTTAGAAAGAATTAAAATGCTCATACAAAACAGCCCAAGGGGTGGCCAGGACGGTATTTCAGCAAAAAACTAAGCCTGCGTTAAGGACTGAGAAGAGACAAGGAACGCTGCTGCTGACAGCGACCTTAGGAAAAAAAAACCTGAATGTAAAGTTGCCTTGATCTACTACAGAGAGCACGCCAAGCTAACGCAGCCAGCTTCTGAATCCCTCTGTGTGGATGCTCTTAAGGCAGATCCCAGTTAAACGTGATCCAGATCTAAAAAATCTAAAGGGATTTTTTAAACCGTGAAAGCTGTTAAGCTGTCACGTAATAGGAACCCACCTGCTCAACTCGAGAAACTGGCTGACTTAACAGCGAGGGAGACCTCCATGCACAGACCAGCCTGACTTGTGATGGAGGGGGTAGGAATAAAGAGAAGGGAAGTTAAAAGTTGTGAGGAGAAAGAAAAGAACAGGAAAAAAAAAGCAAGCCAAAGCCTCAGGGACCGGGTCACAAACTGCAGCGCAGACTCTCCCAGTCCACAAAGCCACTGGCAAGTTGTACGCAAGAGGGCTGTCATCCAAAAGCAGCGTGGCAGCTTTACTGCCCTTCCAAGACTAACTGGGATTATTGGTTTGAGCCCGAGTCTAGATTAACGAGGCAGCTTCCATTTTGGCAGTAGCCTCGCAAAGGCTGCATGGTCGTGCACAAGCTCATTAAATGGGTGCAGTGCTGCGTGGCTGCTCATTTCTCTGCCTTAAACCGTGGCCCTAAATTTACCGTAGCACTGAAAGTGAATTACGCTGCTTTTTGGGATTAATGTAGCCAGTTTAAAAGCGTATCGGTAATTAAACCTGGGCATCTTTTTTTTACAGGCCAGGCTTCTTTCTAGCTTCACCTTTCTCCTGGCACCAGCGAAACCACCTCCAGGAATCAGGAAAGGGATTTGGGACGGTGCTTATCCACGCGAGGCTGACCGGCTCCGATACCACCGCGGCTGTATCGGCAAGACCTCAATAATGGAAAAACACCGTGTGAAGCTGCCACCAAGATAGTTAGGATAAACTGTAATTAACCACATATAAGCTTAATTGCATTAAGGGGGAGGGGGAAATGAAAGCTGGAAGCAGATTATGGATCTGGCTTATAATTCAATTTGTGCAACAGCTAGGAAAGAAGGGGCCACATTCTCCAGCAGCGTGTTAGCAACGCAGGAGGCGCGGAGCTACTAGGACTCTAGGGACGATCGGTTTTTTGAAAGAGAGGGAGGACTGAGAAGCAGAAGATAGGAAAATACCTTGGGAGAAACAAGGGAGAAAGAGCAACTCAACTCCTCGCAGAGGACTGGGAGGACAGGTCGGAGGATCTCGTTTTCAGGGTACTGTGTGACACCACCGACACTCGTTCAACACTGCCAGCTGCCACCCTCGTTTCTTTAGCGTCTGGTTTCACACAGACCTCTCAAAGAAGGAAATAGAGGATGAAGAAACTGGGTGACAGATTGCAAGTGCTACACTTGCAGTGTTAGGCAAGTTTAGAAATAAAAGAAATGTGATCATACAGGGACGGGAGCACCTCTGTGTTTCATAAATCACCTTCCCTTCAATCCTTGCAGTCAGTCACACCAGCCGTGGGCTCTCCACGTTAGTGCAAACTCTTTGCTGAGACCGAGCGCCTGTAAACACCTTCTAGTGCATCCTCTCTAAACCACCGCTGATCATAAGAGAGACGGACAGGGTCTGGGCTCCCCTTGCCGTGCTCCGGGAATCCCCTAGTCTGGGAGAAAACTGGTTTCTTAAAGCATTAACAGTTCAGGGCTCCCCTTTGCCTGTCAGGATGCTGGTGCTGCGTGGGAACAGCTCCTGCCCGCCTGCCTGCCTGCTGTTTCCAGCGCTGCAGCCCCTGGCACTGCTGGAAGCTGGCTCTCAGGAGCTTTATTTCTGGCACCTTTGCCTTCGCGGCTGCCCTCTGGTGGTCCCTG